TCATGGGGAATAAATACATCCAGCTGCCCAGCCAAGTTGACACATACTTTAACTACCACAGCCATAACAACAAAAATGTATGTGTAAAAGTATGAACCGTGGAGGCACATGACCTGGCTTAACTACAAGCTGAGCCTCATTATAGCTACACAACCTTGGGCGTGTAATCTGCTGCAGTCTTTTCCATCTGAAAAATGGAGACAAAGATGACTGATTCACAGAGTTAGTGTAAGATTTACATGACTTGACATGTGGAAGGCACCTGGCACAATGTCTAGCTCATGGCACTAACAGGAGTAGTAATTCAAAGAGATGATTGGAACTGACAAGTATAGCCTTTTGTTACAGAAGCTAACAACAAATATTTTGATTTCTAACCAAAGGTGAGGCGAAGGGAAAGGCTATAAGGTGCCCAGACACACTCTTGGTCCCAGGCTAAAGGTGCCTTCTGTCTCAGGAGAGTAATCAATATTCTTTAAACAGAGACTCATTAAAAATGTGGATCCCATTCATTCCAATTTGGCAGCACCTTAGGTACGATGGTGGCTAAGGTTTACGGTCGGCTGCTAACCAAAAAGGGTGAAGACTCAAATCCACCCTGTGATCTGCTTCCATGAAGATTCTGGCCTAGAAAAGCCTATGGGGCAGCTCTACCTTGTAACATATGCATCACCATGAGTTGGGGACCAAGTCAATAGCAACGGGTTTGGGGTTTGTAAAGTTTACCCCTGTAGGGTGAATTCAGGAAATGTCCCTTAGCATGGGAAAGGCACATGAGTAGGAGAAAAACTCCTTTGAGGAGGGCGGTTGGTAAGAAAACGGCTTCTCAGGCCCCACTCACAACCCGAGTCAGCCCGGGCGCCCCCTCCCCACGCCCTCATTTCCCACTGACTCACTGCTTTAGCCCATCACTTTTCTTTGTTTCTTGCCTCCTCTGACTAATTATGCAGTAAGCTAATTGAGGAGAGGACTCACAGCTTATATGTCTTTATATCCCCCACAGCATCCAGCACAGTGCTGAGAACAGAGATGTCTAATACAAACCTCAATGAATAATTCAGCCACCATGTGTCCCTCAGTGATGGAACTTTGCACTAATAAATCAGAGTTTCAGAAAAATGACTCTCATGCGAGACTCTGGGATTTGATGCTTAGATGCCAACTGGGGCAGCTCCATCTTGCACACACCTGACACGCCCCCATCCCAGTAAGAGGAATCACTGGCTGGTGGGAAATAAAAGCCCCAAGATTCCCCTCAGCTCCTGGGGAGCAGCATCAAGCCTAGGGATTTTCTTGTTGCCTAGCAACAGATGCTGCGGAGACCAAGGGCTCCAGGGAGAGAATCACCTTGTGACTGGTGAGACCCAAGGAGGCTGGAGGGGAGGTGGGTCAGCACCACCCCTGGGGCAGCTCCTGGTTCAGCCCTTGGACTCTGGTGACATGCGCCTTGGGAACGATTCTGTAGATGGGCTTGAGAAGCAAACTGCTATTCAGAACATTGTTTTGTTTTGTTCCTATCCTGAGTACCATTTTTTTTTTTTCTGTAAAAATATATATAAAACAACTCGTGTTAACTAATGCAGTGACGATGGTGACAGTCGTCATGTTGCACAGCTGTGACCACTCTTCTGTTACAAACTATTCCACCATTACTGCTCAGTGCCCCTGAGTAGTGCTCCCCCTCCCGTCCTCCCATCCCAGGTAACCACTGATAAGCTCTCATCTCTACACACTGCCTACTTCATGTAAGTGGCCTCATATGAAATCTGCCCCTTCGTGCCTGACTTACTTCACTCAGCATCATGTTTTCAAGGTTCATCTCTGTTGTAACACGTACCAGGACTTCATGTCCCTTTTCGGCTGAGTACTATTCCATTGGGTGTATGCCACGTTCGGTTTATCCATTCTCCGTTGATGGATGTTTAGGTTGTTTCTACCTCTTAACTATTGTAAATTATGCTGCAATGAATATGGATGTACATATTTGCTTTCCTGTTTTCAGTTCTTTTGGGTACATATTTCTACATCCAGGAGTCAGATGGCTGGGTCGTACGGTAGTTCTACGTTTCACTTCTTGAGGAACTACTAAACTTTTAGGACTTAGTTTAGGACATTATTTTAAAAAGGAAAGTATATTCAGGTTTCAAAAAACAATTACTAAATATGCTTCTTGTCCACGGCCCATGTGGAAGGAGGAGCTTGTGCCCACGGGCCACGTGTGAGATGAAGCTTCTGTCCACAGCCCACATGAGAGATGGAGCTTCTGTCCACAGCCCATGCGCGAGACGGAGCTTGTGTCCACGGCCCACGCATGAGACGGGGCTTCTGTCCACGGCCCACACGTGATATGGAGCTCTGTCCACGGCCCACAAGCGAGACGGAGCTTGTGTCCATGGCCCACGTGCGAGACGGGGCTTCTGTCCACGGCCCACGCGTGAGATGGGGCTTCTGTCCACGGCCCACATGAGAGATGGGGCTTCTGTCCACGGCCCATGCGTGAGACGGAGCTTGTGTCCACGGCCCACGTATGAGACGGGGCTTCTGTCCACGGCCCACATGTGAGACAGTGGCTGCTTTCCCTGCGAGCATGGCAACACACATCAGCTCTCACCTGGCACTTCACTTGGCACCTACTGTAAAGTAAAAGTGCCACACATGTAAGTGGCCACCTCCCCGGACATGTCATCTTTCCCTAGGTCAAACGAAGCCTGGATGCTGGAGCCTCTCAGGCTAGCGGGAACATCATAGCCATATCCAGAGAGCAGTGGTGGCGTGCGGGACCTCCTCTCCATAACCTGCCATCACAGGCCCATCCAGAGAGTGGAGGTGGCATGCAGGCCTCCTCTCCATAACCTGCCATCACAGGCCTATCCAGAGAGTGGAGGTGGCATGCGGGACCTCCTCTCCATAACCTGCCATCACAGGCCCATCCAGAGAGCAGTGGTGGCATGCAGGCCTCCTCTCCACAACCCAACCCACAGTGGCTGCCATCGAGTCAATGCTACTCGACTGCGCTTCCCAGGGTTCTCAATGGCTGCTTCTCCAGAAGCAGATAACCAGGCCTTTCTTCTGTGTGTACTTGAACCTCCACCCCTTCTGTTAGCAGCCAAGCCTATCACGTGTTTGGCCCACCCATAACTCCCATGTCCACAGACAAGAAAGAAGAGGTTCAGAGAGGTGAAGCCCCTTGTTCAAGGTAATTCCCAGGGATATCAAAAGGAAGGGTTCAACCACAGGTCTTTGGACTGACCTTAAATCTCATACATTCTCCTTTATGCCATAGGAGTTTCCTTTAGCCAAAAAGTCTTTTGAAAATAAATTCATTTCTTTATTTCCCTTTGAGTTTAATCCTTAGACCAACATAGAAATGTGAACTTTATAGTATGAAGGACACCACTCCCTCCTTCCATCTCCACTGGTAACTGCGTGGCTGCTGCCCAGGGAGGAGGTGGACATGCCAGGACTGCTGGGGTGAGCCCGTGCGCCTCCCACACTCACCGTTCTGAGTAAGCTTGGTGGAGCACACGAGTGTTGAAATCTGGAAGGAATCTTTGCTGATGGTGCAGCTTCCGAGGCTCTGCATGCCCTTGCCCGTCGCCGCGTGCCCCTTCTCCTCTAGTTCAGCTTTCGTGGAAGGCAGACTCAGGTACGTCGAGGCATCTTCCAGCTTTTTCGCTTCAGCCTGGGGGTTTCATGACACAGTATGTCAAACACGACACAAAAACTGCAACGCGTACTATGTTCCAACCATTGCTATCTAATCTTCTCAACCATCACAATGTTTGCTTCTTATGTTGTGCTAACTGCTTACTTCGATAATTTTCCCCCTTCCTACAGATCAACTCATGTTGACAGAGTACTGCCATAAAGTATATACTATACCATCTGACATCATCATTTTGTTAGGAGCAGCAAATGGGCTGGTCACCAGAAGCATTCATTTATAGTTAAATGTGGCTAGAGAGTTGTAGGGAGCTCTGGTAGCATAGTGCCTAAGGCATCTGACTGCTAACCAGAAGGGTGGCGGTTCAAACCCACCAGCCACTCCTCGGAAGGAAGATTGGGCAATCTACTTCCATAGTGATACTGCCTCGGAAACCCAAGGAGGGATCACTATGATTCGGGTCCCACTCGATGGCACATAACAACAACAACAACAGGGAGTTGTAGGCATCCTGATGGCACAGGAGTTAAGTGATCAGCTACTAATGGTCCAGCCATTCTGCAGGAGAAAGATCCGGCAATCTGCATCCATAAAGATGACAGCATTGGAAACCACAAGGGGCAGTTCTACTGTGTCCTACAGGGTCGCTGTGCCTAGGAATCTACTCAACGGCAATAGGTTTATCTTTGTTTATTTTGTTTCCTTTTCAGGCAGCAGCTTCCTCACAAAGGCAGGAAGGGTCAGCTCAGGTCAGGGTGCCCGGAAAGGACTAAATGGCCAAGACTCAGCAAAAATCATCCTGATAAAACACATACCTTATAAACAATAAGATCATGCTCCCCGTCTCTCAGAGTGGTCCCATCATATCTCATCAGCTTCACAAATGCAAGTGCAAATATTTTCTCAGATTTGTCCTTGGCTGCAATTAAAATGGACAATCAGCTTCAACAGCCATCATGACAAAAGAACCCTGCAAAAGGCTATCTTTACAAACTATCCCACAATTTACTGAAAGACGCTTTAAAAAGTCCTACATAAATGGACCTTGTTCACCAGTAGAAAGACTCAGTTCATAAAAGGATTAGCTTTCCCCAAACTCATCTATAAATTCAATGAAATTTCAATCAAAATCCCAACAAGGTCTTTTCATGGAACATGAAAGGGGCTGAGAATAGGAAGATTTTAAAGAAAAATACGTCAGTACAACAATGACAGGAAGAAGGAGGAGCTGCTAAGGCTGATTACGTACAACCAAAAACCTCATGGCATCTGTTTCCTTGGTTTGGAGGTGTAGGGTCATGGTTTTATGGGACATCTCAGTTAATGGGCCTAATAACATGTTTAGTGCCTCTATCCTACAGTCTGTGATATAAAGAAAACAAAAATCCTCACGACTGGACCAATAAACAGCATCACAAGGAACAGAGAAAAGATTGAAGTTGTCAAAGACTTCGTATTACTTGGTTCTACAATCAGCACCAATGGAAGCAACAGTCAAGACATCAGATGATGTATTGCATTGGGCAAATCTGGTGCAAAAGACCTCTTTCAAGTGATGAAGAGCAAAGATGTCTCCTTAGACTAAGGTGCACCTAACCCAAGCCATGGTATTTTCAATCGCCTCTTATGCATGTGAGAGCTGGACAACGAGTAAGAAGATGGAAGAAGAGTTGATGCTTTGAGCTGTGGCATTGGCAAAGAATGCTGAGAGTACCATGGACTTCTAAAAGAACTAACAGGTCTCTCCTGGACGAAGTGCAGCCAGAATGCTCCTTGGAAGCAAGAATGGCCAAACATCATCTCACATACTTTGGTCATATTATCAGAAGGGACCATTCCCTGGAGAAGGATCTCATGCTTGGTAAAGTGGAGAGTCAGCAAAGAAGGGGAAATCCCTCAACAAGATGGATTGCCACAGTGGCTGCAGTGATGGGCTCAGGTACAGCAAGGATCATGAGGCTGGCACAGGACCAGGCAGTGTTTCGTGCTCTTGTACGTAAGGTCACTATGAGTAAGAGCCAACTCGACGGCACCTAACGAGAACAAACAATATTCCACCACCTGTATACCATGATGTATAGTGCCTTGAGGTCTTAAAAGCTTGCAAGTGGCCATCCAAGGCACAATAATTGGTCTCTATTTGGCTGGAACAGCAGAGGAAGAAGGAGAGTCGGGAATAGGAGGAGGCTATAGAACGTGTGGCCAACTGCCTCCATGAATAACTGCCTCCTTTGCCGTAAGACAAGAACTAGATGGTGCCCAGCTACCATTACTAAGCATTTTGATCAAAGAGTCCATAGAAGAATATTGATCAAAAGGGGGAAAACAAAGAGCAGAATTTCAAATTTTTATGTACTCCAGCCTTCCTTAAGCCATGAAAGTTGGATGAACCCCTGAAACTAGTGTCCTAAGATAATTTTTAAACCTTAAACCAAAAATATTTCCTGAAGTCTTAAAACTAAGCAATAGTTTAGCTTCACTAGTAAAAAATATCTGCCTTGTGCATTATACTCTTTTAAGGACTATTTATACAGAACCAAACTGACAACAGCAACTCAAAAGATTAGATAGGAGTCTTGGAGGGTGATGGATTGACATTAACAGAGGAAGGACTCAGAAAAAGAGATGAAAATGGTTACACAACTTGACAAACATGATCACTATCACTAAGCAGCACATGGAGAAATTAGTGAATTGGTGTATGTTTTTCTGTGTATGTCCTCCACAACCAAAGACAAAATTATATAAAATAAAAGACAAGCAATAATGCACACTAACATAGGCTGAGTACCATTTAAGTAATACATAAACATTAACAAGCAAGTTTCATTTTTTAAATCTGAAAGAAGAGGAGGAAGAAGAGTATGTAGGAAAGTCTGCGATGCCAGAAACTAAGAATAACTGTAAAGCAATAGCAGAGAAGTCAGGGTGGCCTGGCAGCACAGATATCAGACCAGTGGGGAACAGGGCCTGGGAACACAGGCCCTGCACATGGTAGGGTTCACGGAGTCAACAAGGAAGGACAGACCATTCCACTGAGCAAGCTGGTTCCTCCCTCACACCACACACTACTGTGCATTACAGGTGGATGAAAGACCTGAGTGTGAAAATGGGCTCCCTTTGTCATTCAGGCCTCTGCTCTAACACCAATCCCTGGGACACGAGCACCATATCCGCAACAGTAAGTTACTAACCCAGTCACACTCCTTCCCCTTGCCTGACCTATTTCTCTTCAGAGGAGTCCTTACTACCACCAGACTACCAGACAGCTGTATGGGTATGTAAATCGGGTGGTGCTTGTTGTGTTGCCCACTAGATGCTGGAAAGAAAGAGACTTTGTATATTTTCCAGCCAACAGTGAAAAAGAAAGGAAGGAATAGAGGACAACAGGTGTCTCCTCAACAAGCTAACACGTAACTTTGTAAAAGGGCACCAGGGAACGTAAACCTCCTTCACGCTCAAATGAGAGAGAGCAGATTCCCCTCAGTTCGGGCTGGTCCTGAAAGCAACCATGGCTCAGGAACACAGGAGCCAGGACAGCCGGCAGCTGGCTCCCACTGACCTCCTATTAAACAGCACAAATTAAGTACACCTTTTATTAGCATTCCACATCTGCACCTCAACAGTGCAGACAGGTTTTTATTACATCCTCCATACCGGTAACAGCTTCCATTGCACAAAAATTAGGGAGCCTTAGAGGAAAGTTCTGGACAGCAGGCAGGGTGGACCATCCAGAACCCCATCCATTCAAGCCAGCTCAGGCAAGGTAACTTGGCTCTTGGCAACCAGAGCCCAGAAAGCGCAATTAGCTCGTGCCCACATGAATGCCTCGGGAATTGCTGCCAAGCGCCAGGAGAAGCCTTACGTAGGGCCTGAGTCTACTAGTGCTGCTGTAGCAGAAAGAACACAGTGAAGAATAGAAACTTATTTTCCCGCAGTTGAGAAGGCTGAAAGTGCAAAGTCAGGGCATTGACTCTCAGGGAAGCATCTCTCTGCAGGCTTTGGGAGAAGATTCTCGTCTCTTTTGTCATCTGTAGGCCTGGGGACTACAGTCCCAGCTTTTCTCAGTTCCTGGGAGATCCTCTCATGGCATCTATTCTCCCAGCCCACTGTTTGTGCTTGCTTTTTCTCTGTGTAAGTCGGAAGTGATTAAGTGTAGAACATCCCTGGTTATGGCCTCATTGGCCCAATGACCTCTACTCCCAACAGGAATAGGTGTTAGGATTCCAACATGTTTTGGGGGGATGCAATTCAATTGATAACAACATCACATCAGCACTAAACTTTGCAATCCCAAGACAGATTCAGTCCGCGTGCCCTATTCCCCTTCAGGGCGGAACACAGCCAACATGGCCCCGGTTCCTTCCACATGTCCAACTGTGGCTGCAGGAGCTGCAGACAGGGTCAGCTGGTGGGGCCCTGTGGGAACCATCATTGCGGTAGCTGACAGCCCAGAGTTTTGGTAGCATCACACACACCACGCACAATTTGTTTCCAACACCACGGCCCCTCTCAAGCCTCAGCCGGGAAAGACGCCATTAATTATGCAAATGTGTCTTGGTATGTGAGCAAATAGCATCTTGTCTACCATGAGTGCTTTAAAATTGACAAGAAAAACAAGGATTTGGAAAGTTAAAATGGGGCAGAAGATACCCTCTGCCCTGGTGTAATTTATGAGCTAGAGAAGAATGGAGAAAGGGGTTTGGAGGCGAGCCCTCTGAGGACTCCAAAATTCTGCCCCCATCCTCTTTCCACTGGAGCTCACTACTCACCAGACTTCCTAGGGGTCTTAGATCACTCTCTGCCTTTGTGAGGGTCCCACCACTGACGTCTCCAGAGTGTGCTGTCCCCAGTTCTAAGCATTTCTGAACCACCACCAACCCCAACATGCCCTCACTTCCACCATGGGCCAAAATCGGACTCAAGGCAGCTCCCAAAGTTTCCTCTCCCAGGCATTGCACCACCGCACACCAGGACAGACATGGCTGCTCCCACTGGAGCCCTCCCTCACCTCACACCCCAGGACGTCCCTAGTTCTGCAGGTCTTCCGGATTTAACCCTTCTAGTGATCCTGTTCCCGCTGCCTTAGCCTCTCTGAAGAACTTCCAGTCTATGATCTGACAGGATGGAACACCCTGCTCCTCTTTGGCTCCTTCTATCTCTCCTGCCCAAGAACCTGGTGTTTAGTGTTAGTTTGCCCACTGGACCCTGCCGAGTGAGTGGCCGGCATCTCACTTGGTCTTCAAGACCACACCAGGAGAGAGGTCTTCTTGTCATTGTGTGGACACTGAGGTTCATTGCTTAAGTGTCTGTGAGCCCAAAGTGTGAGGGAGCTGCAGGGTGACCTTGGAGCCAGGACTGGCGTGATTTCATCTGCATGCTGTCAGTGACCAGCACACCACGCAGACCACTTCTTCCCCTCAATCACCTGCAGCACAACCAACAGTAGCCAACTCTCACTGTCACTTATTTCCCCAAATATGAACACACAGCTGAACAGATACAAGCCACAAAGGGCAGGGGCCGTGTCTTATTTTTGTGATATCTTATTTATTTAGTGTCCAACACAAGGCTACATCCTCCAGAAAGAATTAATTCAACAAATGGGATGAGAAAAACAGCAGTAGTCAATCATAAAATCTCCTGGAAGGTTCTTTCCTCCTAAAGTCTTGACATCACAGTTAATACTGTACCAACATCTACTCCGAGAGAAGCTATGTCTGAGAGCCAGGCAGGAGCCACCAGAAAAGACAAAACAGTTTGAGGTTCCAATTCCAATACAAAGAGCATGTGAAGACAGTTTCCCAAGAGCGTGTGTTCTGTTTTAGTGAGTTTTCGATGAACAGCTTCACCCTCTGAGTCAAAATGCAAGAAAGGAAAGCAGAAGAACCAGTACCTGGTCAGAAGGACATGAGAGGAAAGGAAGACCTCCTCAGATTAGCTCCATGCAAGAGAGAGCACAGCCCTTCCTGAGGAAAATGTTAACATGGGAAATGACTACACTCCAGAGCAAACCTAGGACATGGCAGCCCATTCAGCCTTCCCCAAGTCTCCTCCTGGCGAACACGTATGATACGGTGCTCAGTTACTTACAGTCCTGCGATGACCTGTGTCTGAAGGTAAACCGCAGGTGACTGCGGTTGACGTCTTCAATGGGAATGGCCACCTGTCAAAGTTGAAAACAGAAAGTTCTAGGACATTTACCCATATGTTCTAGCATGAAACCACTCATTCGACCGGAGATGTGATTATAAAAACGTCTGCCCTGCCACAAGGGGTAAGTATGATCTCTTGAAAGGCAAGATACCTGTTTCATTTCAACCAGACAACAGTGTAAAAGATGTGACACCCATGCTGTCAGACAGCTGAATTCTCTGAATCACTCTAATCCTCACGGTTAAAGTTCTATTTGTAAGTTAGCATTTTTGCTCTCAGTCCCAACACCGCAGTGTCTATATTTTCTCTGCAGCTGGAATGCCCTGTGTGCACCTGTGGCAAGGAAGCTCACCTGTTGAGACATTCCAGTACAAGGAGACGGATCAAATGCATGCTGCCTTCAAGCAAATACTGTCCCCTTCTTTCTATCTAACATCTCTATTACAGAGCCAACCGCAGCATGGGTTTCAAATACTCGCGCCTTCGGTGTGGGCCGGCATTGGCCACAGTGGGGCTACCATGGTCCCAGGGAGGTGCTGCCTCATGAGACGCAGCGGGTCAGCCCCACAGGAACCGGTTGCATCTCCCCAGCAATAACCTCCCTATACTGTCATTTCAATATTTTTCCATTGGGTGTAAAGACAGCCTGCCACACACAAAACAAACTGCAGATGAGAGAGAGATCAGCTATCTTTGAAAGACTCAGCCATTTGTCTCCATGAAAGTCCTATTTTTATGTCCAAAAGGCGATGAGAGGAAATGTATTCCAAGAAATGCCTATGGGTTCCTTAGCAACCTTGACTGACTTTGTTGGAGGAGCTGGTTCCATGGCCCAGGCTGGGTGGGGGTGGGGATTTCCTCAGGAAACCAATGAGCATCTCATAGTCACCTCCGTGTGATAAAACAACCCGTAAATGGTACCTTCACAGTCTCAAACCAGCGCGGCTGCTTCACTTGGTAGTATATCACAGACTTGTACTCAGAAATCGCCTCATCGCCGGCGCCCGGGAAGATCACGTGCTGTAAAAGGCGGCACAGACACTTCCCGTGAGACCTGGCGCAGCCCAACAGGGCACACCTCTCCGCACCTCCAGCCCCAGGGTAGAATCGGAAGGAGGACGGAGAGCACCCCAGGAATGCGAGGACTCTGTCCAGATACAAGATGCTCCCAACCAGGAAGAGGCAGAGCCGCCCAAAGCCAGTGGCCAGCCTCCAGTCCTCTCATCACACATTTAAGACCTCAGTGTTTGTGAGCTTGGGGAGGGACCCTGTCCTCCATCTCGGGGACCATCACCCCAATCACCTCAACAGTAAGGTGGGTAGGAAGCTGCCCAAATCATTCACTAGGTGGAGGATGCAGGGCTGTGGGCCAGAAAGGGTGGAAGGCCTCCCTTCCCTCTGCTCCAGTCTTGACTCCAAGGGGGGTCATATGCTGGAGACCACAGAGCAGGGGCAGGATGGCCAGTGTCTCCCGAGGCCACGGCACAGGGCCAGCAGTGATGCCTGGACAAGGGTCACATAGAGGAACGGTGGCCAGCCACCTCTCAGCACAAGTGTGGGGCATCACCTTGGCCCACATGGACTCAGCCCTCCAGCCCTCTGGCCCTTGGTCCACAAAAGTGCCTGGCAGGGACTCAGGTTTGGCCTCAGGTCTACAGATGAGACAGCAGCATCTGAGCACTTCCTGGGACCACCAGTCTTCCTAGGACCATGGAAGCAGCAGGACCCAGTAATCCACTGCCAGTCAGCAGAACACACGGTCAGGCCAAGAGCCCATGGATCAGACGTCCCACCTCTCCCTAGTCCTGAGGCCCAAGCACAGGATGGGTTTCTCCCAGCCTGTTTCCTCCTCTCTCAATGCTGATCATGGTGCATCTGCCTCTCAGTGCTCGTGAGAGATGGCCAATCCAAGTCGAAGGTCTGGCACAGTGCCCGGCAGAGTCAGGCAGACAAATGTTCATTACTGTCGTCATCATTAGCACCATCATCGTTATTAAATGAGACCCCAGAAATGCCTGAGATGAATGTAAACAGCAAGGGTGACTGCTAGCCCCTTGAGCCTTGGATTTATGCCTGAATATGAGACTCCATGAAAGGGCTGGGCAGAAGGCGGTCCAGGCCACAGGAACCTCCTGAGTCGGGCCAGCCACGAGGACCCAGTGGACACAGGACCTGTAAGGCCAGGTGGAGAACAGCAGCCATGCTCGTCCCCCAAAACTGGAATTCACAGCCCCACCTACATCAATTCGTACATTGTAGCAGAGCCAAAAGGAGTATGTGCAAAAGAAAACTGATGAAACTTTGCAGTAATGAATACCTCCAATCGTTTTCCATCTTCATCATAAACAGACAGTGTAACCTCAACATTCTTGGCCGTCGTTTTACTTCCTTTATCAAAATCTCCTTGAACTAACGTTACGTAGATATCATTTCGAACATCACCTGCGGGGGAGAAATTATACCTTTAAAACCAATCCATTATTATCATTTAACAGGGAATTCTGCAAAACTGCTGAAAACGCTACGTATCCTAGCAGAATATTATAAATACCTTATTAGGTGATTATAAAAATATTTTCTACAAAATAGTCCCAGCATCGAAAGGGATGACACAAGCAATTCTCATCATCTTCACAAGGCTTGCTGCAAAGAGGAAAACATCCAAGCCCCTGATCATCTGCATAGTTTTTATCTGAACAGGGGACACGCCTCCATGAGCAGCTGATGCCCAGAGCAGCTGGGACACTGATGACAGGTCTACAGTGGATCTGCAGCCCACTCCCATCAGGACCAACATCACAATCCCACGACAGGAGCTGCATGGTCATCTGAGTCCTCAGGACCCAGGGAGTCTATCACAACATCAATGGGCACAACCCAGATGATAACTCGCCAAACTGGCCTCCTCTGCACAGCCTTCTTCGAAAGAACTTCACTCCAGAGGTTGAACTGAAAGCTGCTTACAAATTCGAAGGCCAAGTCACTGCCCCACGCCGCTGTCTAGGACCTGGGAGGAGGGATAGGTCAAGAGGGAAGCCTTCCTTGATGATCTTCTCTCCTCCTGAGCAGGCAGCTGTCAAGATCCCAAACAGGGACCAGAGCAAGCAGAACAAACCAGACCTGTGGGTTTTCAGTGAGACAGGCTTTTCATTGTGCAAACACAACAGAAATGAGCCCAAGAGTCTTCTCCCCACAGAGAACGTTCAAAAGCCCATTAATGGTCTGACTGGGAAAATCCAGCAAGCTTCGTTAGCAGCATGATGGAGCATCAGCACCGAGTGACAGGTCCTCTGCTGCCCGCGCAGGCCACCGCCCACCTTGACCACCCAGACCCTCCCAGGGGACACTTGGCACTGTTCCCATGAACACACCAAGACCACCTAGACCAGGAAGCCTGAAGCACAAAACTCCCCTGGCGTTCCTGCTTTTTCTTTCACTTTTTTTTAAACAAAAATTTCACATTCTGCCTTCTAATGTATCCAACTATTAAATTAAGCTTCCATTTAAAAGTCGTTATTACAATACTCCCAGTGGGGTGCTACTCCTGCCACAGTCACTGTGTGAAAGAAAGCACACCACGACTGCAGGGACAATCCTGAGACACAGAGAACGACAGAGCCCGGGGGGAGTGGGAGGGCTGCGGGGCCAAGGCCTGCCACTAATTAGCTGTGTGCCTTTGTGC